AAAGGGTTGGACGGGTCTTGGTGCTAGGTAATTCGAGTAATAAAGACTCGTTTGACCTAAGAGAGTACCTGGATTGCTTTTTGATGCTAATTAAATCAATCAAATAATTAGGAGCCAGACCATATAAACACTTAAATGTCAAAAGTAAAATCTTAAACTTTATACGGTAACTAATCGGGAGCCAATGAAGATGGAAAAGCAATGGCGTAACATGGCAGTATCTTGGTGATCCAGTGACCAACCGAGCAGTGGCATTCTGTATCCGTTGGAGTTTCATGATATGTGAATTTGGGAGGCCGTGTAGTAGACTGTTGCAGTTATATATTCTACTGGTTATGAAAGCATGAACTAAGGATTCAGTGAATGGACGACTTAAGTATTTTCTAATTCTACGTATGTTGTAAATATAATAGAATGCAGATGAGCAGGTTCTGTTAATATGACTTCGCATACTCATTTTCGAATCAAACCAGGTTCCGAGGTTTCGAAGTTCACATGATGAAGCAATTTGGGACTCGCCAACCGATAAGATACTAATGTTACTGAAAATAAAAATGGCCCGAGGCCAAATTAACAATCAAAATCAAATTAACACAGCACTTACGGACGAACAATGTATAAAGACAAGGAGTTGTAAAAGGAAAACAGACGTAAAATGGGACCTTAACAATTTTGTTGCGATTATTGAAGTCCTTTAGTGCAGATATGACTTTTGAATTTTTCTTCCGACGATGTAAGAGTTCATTGATTCCTTGCCAGGTTTGTTTCATGTTGTCCATATTATTCTCAAAGAACGTACCGTAATATCTCCTTTTACTCAAGCGTATCAGTGCAGAAATTTTGTTTCTGTATTATTTGTACCTAACATCGTCTCCAGATGCATATAATTTATTTTAACCTTAATAGGCGCCTTAATTCCTCTAGTTATCCAGGACTTGGATAATTGCTTTGCTTTGCGGATTGATAATCTTTTCATGGGGACATGTTTGTTAACAATTGTATTGTACTTCTTGTAAAACGATGAAAACAGTTTGTTCACACAATTTGTTCCGTTCGCCATTATTTGATCCATTCAACTTTAGATAGCTCGTCGTTAAAGCGATCAGCGTAGAATTTTGAACAGTCACGTATTTTCATATTTTTAACTTGTAAAAGTTTGTCTTTCGCTTACGTAGTGATACAAAACTGCGAAAAGTGATCACTAAAATCAGAGATAATATTTCCGCTTACAAGAAGTTTGTCAGGTGTGTTAACAAACATGTTATCAATCAACGTAGCGGAAGATCTATGAACGCGCGTCGGTTTGTCCTCTGCTGGAATAAGATAACAGCTTCTAAGAGAGAGCAAAAAATCCAAGCTTATTTGAGATGATTCATACTTGAGGAGATCAATATTGAAATCATCCATCATATGAATGTCCTTGTCATCAGACACCATTTTCTCTATTGTCCTATCTAAGTACGTTAAGAAGTAATCGGGCGAATTGTGCTGGCGATAAATTATTCCACAAACAATATTTTGATGGTTGACAAAAGAGATTTCAACCCAGAGGGCTTGGAATGCCTCATTTGAATTTTTTTTCAAAAACAGAGTAGTTAAGTGATTGAGCAGTAAAAAGGCCAGCGCCTCCAGAGGTCAGAGGTGTTGGCACGTGCTCAGAGACGTAACCAGGAATGCTCGAATGGGCGTTGTTTACATTAGAATTTATAATTTTTGTTTCTGAGCTACCAATAACGTCCAAGTGGAAATCCAGTTCATCTAATAAAAATTCAAAATTTCAATTTCAAAGATTTTTTCCTTGAACAGTTTAAAGCTGTGTGGCGAAAATTATCGGCTTTGGATGCGCTGATTAGGAAGATAAATATCAGTATTCAAATAAGTATCCAAATCAGAGTGCAGGCTAAAAATATCTAAGTCGTATAAACTGTTTAATTTATCTAGATTTTGCCTTGGGCACCAGTCAACAGAGATCGAGTTCTTGAACTGTCTATGATAGAGAGCCAGGTTACCTGTAAAGATAAAGTAAGGTAACTCTCACAATAATAATTTACTGGCCCTCTCTTCTGTTTTATTTCTATGGAACTTCATTGTAGCTTATTCCTGACGATCGTAGCATGTAAACAAGAGTACTTAGCTTAACTTTGCGAAGCCACTCCTTGGAGGTCTTCTAATCTACTCAGTTTTATTATGGTTGAGGTATTCGTCTTCCGTAAATAAACGAATCCGTTCTTCGCCCAGCAGTATTTATAGCTATTCGCCTCCTTGAATTTTATACTCTCAAATAGAAGCTCTTGTAACCTTGGTGTAAGATGATCATAAAGGTTGATGTGGCTTATATCTCAGTTCCTCGCCATTGAAGCCCAAGTCATCTGCATTTAAGTCAGACACTCCTCTCCTTGCCGCCATGACTTTCTCTCTGGCTATTCTCCGCACGAATTTACAGATGATGGCATTAGGTCTGTTGGTAGCCACGCGGGATGGCACCCGGTGTGCAGTGTCATTGTCTTTCAGTGATACATCATCGACTCCTAAACCAGCGAAAAGCCTCATGCAAAGATCGGCTGTTTGTTGGGATGTTTTAAGTTCGGCTGCAGCTGGTACACCCACGATTTTAATATTGAATTGATAACTGTATGCTTCAGAGGCTTCGATGGATTTCCTGATACGATCGCATTGAACTGAAATTTCGTTAACTCTTGAAACGAGCTCTTGGATTTGTCTCTCAGCTTCAACTTTAAATCGCATAAAACTATCATATTGACTTGCCATGAATTCGACTGAATGCATTTTCCCTGGAGACAATTCCCGTTCGGCGTGTCGGCCATGTTGATTCTTAGAAAGATCGTCAGAAACTTTCTGTAGTTTGTTCTTTAAATCTTAGATTTCATCGCGTAAAGCTTGGTTTTCCTTTCGTAGCTTCTCGTTACCCGTCATACTGAATGGTCTTCAGAATATTGGGCTTAGGATATAAGAGGAAATTGTGAATTGAGTTCGGTGCACTCGAAAGTACGTCCGCACAGCTCATGCGGACGAATTAACTTAACCTCTATCATGTCCAGTCGTTTTCGCGTGTTGTTTAATTGCCGATTCATTGTTTCCTCTTGTACTAGGTTTTAGCTCTGCCCTCCGGGAGTTCCAATAACTTTTGCTTTCGCCATTGTCTACAAAAGAGCATGATCTACACTTGACTTTTCAAACATTTCCAGTCACTTGATTCTAGCTTGGGCACTCTTTAGGTTTCTTGAACACATCGCAAAGTATTTTGATCTGCCGAAAAGTTGGCCTAACGTTCTCCTGGCCCAGGATACGCCCAATATTTTCAGAGACTCCTCTAATATGCGGGATTGAGGCAAAAGCTGTTCTGCCACCCGAGACTTCTGGGCTTACTTTGGCTTTTACGTTGCAGCAGCTGTCTCATGGATCTTTGGTGAGGCATAGGAGAATGCCGGAGTGGAATCCTGCTACATTTTGATTCCCCATTGAGATAAAGGAGTTCCTTTGGAAGGTCGCGTCCTACTTTGGCAGTTAGCACATATAAGTACCTAGTGTAGTCGATGAGCTTAACTGAAAAGTGTTCTCCCATAAAAATGAGATAAATAGCGAAAACGCGCATCTTTTGAAGATGATCAAATTATTATCATATTTCTCGCTAAATATGCTGATCATAATAAGCTTTTGAGAAATATTTCCCTTTGATTTCCACCACTAAAACAAATAAGTCTTCAAGTCTTACGTAACAAGACATGAATGTAATGCATGCGAATGCAACTTTCGACAGAATCTTTTGCCAAAAGCTATTCAAAGATATCAATTTGAATTATCGGATGAAGTTTAGTTATATTACTATTTACTTTAGTGATAAATTTTTGTATTATATCAGAATTTAAACATGCGAGTCTGCAGCCGTTCAAGTATGGGAGAACGGTGATTATAAGCGTGTCGAAAATGCCCTTTACCTATTCTCACTTCACCTACAATAACTAAATCATACCTCCAGAAATGATAAATAAAATGTCTTGAATAAAGCTTTAAACATTTTCACATCACTGAACAAAAGCTCGGCTCCAAACAGACGGTAATTGTAAGAACAGATACTGTTTGATGTCGGCCCTACATGTCGTGTTTGACCTCCACATTGATGATGGAGACAGTTAAGTGTGGAAAACATCTCTTGTTCACCGTAAAAAATAATAGGCCATTTCCGAATTACGTTTGGCCTCTTTTTCAAAACGAGGCCTGGTGCTCAACCATACGTATGAAAACGAGTTTAATTTGCATGTGAATGAAAACTTATTACCATACGAAAGGACGAGCACCCGGCGGACTCGCTTTGAAAAAGAGGCTAAAGGCAATTCGGAAATGGGCTATAGGGGAATCCTTGTTTACAATATTTGCCTCATTAGCATAAGCAATTCAGTTTCTGATGGAGCTAAAAATAAATCAGTTCTGAATATCGAAAGGTCAAAGTACGATTAACTCGGCCAATGAATACGAGCCTGATGCATTGAATGCTTTTTGTGTAACAAGGGTTTAAAAACTCAAAATTTTTACATAGAATGTATGAGCTCATTAGCGCTTTTGCCACCCAGAAATTTTGCAGTTTTTGATGGACTATTTCTCCTTGAATATTACACCCCTAAGAGCTAAAAATTTCACCATGTACTAAGGTTTTCTAGCTCTTTAGCCGCCTGAAGTCAATTTGTATCTAACATGCTTCCTTCTTTACGCAAAGCCGTATGCAAATGAGCAAAAATGTAAACAATGACGTCAGCATGAATCCCCCTATTGTCACCCAAGCTGAAAGCCGTTGAACTCACCAAGTCTGATTGCTCAGGTGAAGACGGCTGCTAACTGGAATGTCTTTGCACGTGTGTACAAATCCATCCTCCAAAGTTATCGACAATCAATATACGTTTATGTATTAAGCAATAATTACAAACCGCTCGTTAAAAAGCTAAAATGAAGTCTTCAGGAAACCCCCTTAGATTTTAAGTGTATTAGCCGTTATCTCCTTTCTGCTTCAATCTGTTTTCCGGCTTTCAACGAAACACGCTGATAGTATGGTATTTCATGTCATTTGAGTGAAAAATTTGGACTGAGCCCACTTTGAAACATTGAGCAATGTCGGTGTAAACTAGTTGTTTGAGCCAATAAGAGATGGAGAATCATAACTTTGGTGCTCACAAGTAAGTCTTGCTATGGGCTAATCATGAAACCGCTCATGTAAAGCTTCCGGTAGTACTATCTAATATAGCTCTCTAGCTCACAGGGATTGCGAGGTGATCTAAATGACAATCCAGGCTAAAAATATATTTCATTAATGGTGAATTTCCTTTCTTTACCGGTTGTGAAATTTACATTTTACAATAATAAAACGGAACAGATGAACACAAGATCATTGCAGGGAACTTGAGTCGACGTTATGTAATTACGGTTATCTATCAATTTGTCAAGCTATGCTTAAAATTGATTTTACAGAAATAACTTATCGATGTCGTAAAAAAGTATTGAAAATAAATTTATATCTACAGACCAAAACCAACAGATTTTGTTGAAGAGTGTCGTGATTCGCGCTTTTTTCGCGTGGAATATTTTTAAACAAGTTAAATATTTGTAACCAATGATAACTTGTTCCTCTATTTAATCAGTTTTGAACTTGTTAATGCCTGCAATCAATCTCTATAACCTTCGCATACAAATTAATGCTACTCAGTTGTAACCACGAAAGCGTCATCGATCTTCTAAACACTGACATTTTATTCAAAGAAAACGAGTTGACAGGCCGAAAATAAGAATGTGGATAAAAGATGAATTGAGAAAGATAAACCAATTACAAACGAAATGAAATGGAAAATACTTACATTGATAACCCCCAAATAAAACTTCAATAGCGGAAAACTTTGGCAAGAATACTCCTGGAACAGAAAACTGCTCTCAGTGCGACTTGTGGAGAAAACTGACCGACAAAGTGATTATGTTAAGAAGCGAAACTGGGTTTAAATACGAGAGGAGTAATTACGTGCGACATGAAAATGTGCGAGAGTGAAGGTGTAACTGATGAAAGACGATAACAGACAAAACAAAAGAACACTAACACCAAAAAATAGAAAAACACTAATGAGGAGGTATGAGCAAAGAAAAGAAAAAAATAAAGTTTGAAAGTAATTAGAAAGCTCTAGCTTAGATCTACTACTTTCTTCAATCTAGCCTAACATAAAGTAAGGAAAGCAAGAGAGTTTTTGTTTGTTTTGTACTGTCTCGGCAAAGAAACATCTGGTCTTTCGTTCCCAAAATATTAATTGGTATGTTTAAAAGATCCGCATTAGAGCGAGGGACAGCATTTAGTTTTAACGCCATAATTTATTATTTGCCTTGCCAGAACCAAATTAATATACTAAGGGAAAATTCGCACCTGACCGATTTTTTATTATTTACTTTCTTTTTGAAGGGTTATTGGAGTTTGGGTTTCGACTGGCAAGTGAGGAGTATGATACCACAAATCAGCATGTTATTCCTTCCTTGAATCTTACTTTTGAAAAATTTCATCAAAGTTTCGTAAAAAAGAATAAGCGTTCAAAGATCTCACGCAGAAACATCAGCATTTATCCCTAGAAGCTAAACAAAATTCATATTGAGAAGTGCATCGAGGTGCCACGAATTACAATAACAACATGTTCCAACCTTTTGAGTTTCAATTAATATTCCGTGTGTCGAGCTGAAAAACGCGTAGAACTGCTGAAAAAAGCATGACTCGTGTAATCCTCATTCGTGTGTCACGGCCATTGCAATAAATGAACTGACAGATATGAAATGATTAGAAAAAAAAAATTACTCACATCTGTTTAGTTCTTGATTTCAGGGGTTTCTTGTCAATTGTTTATGTCGTAAATGCATCTAAAACAACGTCATCTGTTACTTCAAACTTTGGCTTAATGGACCCGAAAGCCTCCATCATCATCATGGCCAACACAAACGATTAATGTAAGATAGATGATTTTGTTGATACCGTGACGTCTGTGAAAGGTCTCGGGAAGCTCACCGGATCTTTTCGTCAATTGAGGACGAAAATAAAAACGACCTTTTAAACAAAGTCCTATTCAAAGTCAGAGAAGAGGGATCACTGATTGCACACTTGAAAACAACGGAATGATCGAGTGGAAGACAGTCTACTTATCTCATTCAAATGCCCTGAAGTAACCAACTTGATGGTTTTTCTTTTATATGCGCGATTTGCTACATACTCTTTTCTCAGAAAAGTACAGGTAAAGGAAATTACTTGTTAACTTTTTGGAAATCCGAAGCCACCTTTTCGGGTCCTCACATTTTTTAGCAAAAATTTAAACACTGGATGAGACATTGTGGAAAATGTATTTAATGCAAAACTAGATCAACTGAATTTGAATAAAGACAGCTGGTATTAACCTATGTGCGGTTGATATAGCTCTTTGGCATACAAAGCTTTGCTTTCATGTCCAAATTGAGCACTCTAACTAGGATGAGTCATTGCTCTGCAATTGCGCATGCTCGCTAGTGTACTCTAGTTTGAGCACTCTGGCATGGCTTAGACGATACCACAAAGGTTGGATCGTTTGGGGTGACCATATTGGTTCTCCTCCATCCTAGCATTAGCACTGCACTGATGAGGCCCAGAAGGCCGAAACAGTACTGTCTGCAGTTAGATATAGCTCTTTGGCATACAAAGCTTTGCTTTCATGTCCAAATTGAGCACTCTAACTAGGATGAGTCATTGCTCTGCAATTGCGCATGCTCGCTAGTGTACTCTAGTTTGAGCACTCTGGCATGGCTTAGACGATACCACAAAGGTTGGATCGTTTGGGGTGACCATATTGGTTCTCCTCCATCCTAGCATTAGCACTGCACTGATGAGGCCCAGAAGGCCGAAACAGTACTGTCTGCAGTTAGATATAGCTCTTTGGCATACAAAGCTTTGCTTTCATGTCCAAATTGAGCACTCTAACTAGGATGAGTCATTGCTCTGCAATTGCGCATGCTCGCTAGTGTACTCTAGTTTGAGCACTCTGGCATGGCTTAGACGATACCACAAAGGTTGGATCGTTTGGGGTGACCATATTGGTTCTCCTCCATCCTAGCATTAGCACTGCACTGATGAGGCCCAGAAGGCCGAAACAGTACTGTCTGCAGTTAGATATAGCAAAACTGCACTGATGAGGCCCAGAAGAAGTATTTTTACGAGTTGTGCCGTATTTTGACGAGCCTGTAGGGCTCGTCAAAATACAAATAACGAGTAAAAATACTCAGCGATACTACACAACAAAACGTCTAATAAGTTATTTATTATCTAACACGCCAAACTGTTATTTCAGTGGGGACAAATTTCGCGGATATTTATTTACGGGGAGTGCGTGATAGAAGTATGCGAAGCGAAACGTAATGGCGCGTTGTTGTGTCGCTGTTTCTATTTTCTTCATTAAATGAAGAGATTCTCTGTTCGTTCGATTCATCTAAGGAAAGGTACGTTTTTTATTGGAGGGGTGGGGTTGGGCCGGGGCTTCGGAGGGGAGGATCATTAGTAAATATTTTACAAATTGGGGAGGGTCAAACCTGTTTGACACGCAGCCGGGGGAGGGTCATAGTTTTTTTTTTTGGCAAGGAAAAAACTACTCCATGTCGGTTAGTTGACTTTTAATTATTTGTTACCAAACACGCGAAGTGTGCAGAAACCTAAAACTTATATATACAAGCAAAGCTACCAGTCGAAATCAATCTACATCATTTTAAACCGATGTCGAAATATTATGTCAAAAAACTATCTATATTATGACTATATTATGTCAAAAAACGAGGTCACTTGTTGCTGTACATCTCTGAGTGGGGGCTTCCGATGTTGTTGACGCCCCCATTAATTTGTACAGCAAGCTACCAATGTGCGCTTTTATCACTGCGACTTTTTTCAGTCTCGTTGAAGGTGATCTTGTGATGGGAAAAGTACAAGGATAGTTCGTCCACCCTCAATGACGACAGCTTATCGGAGTCAATAGACGACAGCTTATCAAATGTCAATAGTTTTAGACGTTGTGTTTTTAAGTTTTTAATATAGCTACTTACGTTTAATTTTTTTATACTTATTTTTAATATATTTTTAATTTTTAATTTTTTATGCATTTTTTGTATCCTTTTAATCCCTTTGCAATTTTATTGCTTTTTTGTTTCTACTATATATATCTAGTTTCGAGGTCCTTTTTGAAAACCATATCTGTTATGAAAAAGTTTCCTCAATAAAGATGATGATGATGATGATGATGATGAT